GGATATTTCGTTATGGAATTTAATTTACGGTAATCAATAGCGAATCTCCACCTTTTTGGATGCTCCAAAGGATAATCATTATTTTTCTTACATAAAACCACCGGGCTAGCATAACTACTTGAGATGGGCGTTATGATCTTTTTACGTAGCATATCGGTAATATGCCATTCTATAATTTTTTCCTTATTCTTATCATACCGGTATGGTTTTTTGACGAACCGGCAATGCATCTCCGGTGTCAATACTATGGTTAGTAACCTGAGTAAATCCTGGAATATCACTAAATAAGGAAGCAAATTCACTTACCACTTGTCGGATTCTATCTTGCTCGTCATTAGGCAGGTGGTCAAGATTTAACCTTGGCGGTTCAACCTTTTCTACACGCACTGGTTTCATTGTCAGCTTAAGGGACGCTTCATTAAAATCCAGTGTAGCTTGTGCGTCTGAAAGAAAGTCTATTCCTAGGATTAAATGTGCTTGCAAATTCTTTACTATAAAAAACATCACCTTTACTTGTTCGTCCTTGATACGGATGTACAAAGGTACTTTACCTACGCACTTACATTGTTCTCCTTGCGCCGCTAATACTGTTGTATTATCCGCATTATATATGCGGTATTTGCGAAAATACTTTCTAAAAAAGACTTCTGCCACACAGGAACACTGCGCGCCGGTATCCAGGAGTGCGGTGGCCGGGATATTTATTACCAAGACTTCAATCTTCGGAAGAGTTAAATTTTTCACCATTACTGTATTTAACTTGTAGGAAGAGGGGTTTTCGTGGCCTTCGGATTTCCGCACCCTCCTCTCGTCAGCAGAAATCCGTTTTAGTTTAAATTATTTTTCCTTTCCGGTGCTTTCCTTCTTCTTTCTCCACTGGCCTTGAGACTTTTTTCCTGGGTTGCTATTGAACTGTCGACGTTCGCCGGCTGTTTTTGAATGCTCGGGTTTCCTTGCCCACTGATTCGCTTTTTTTTCTCCGTAGCCATGTGCTTGAGTTTGCTGTAGTCTTGGCGTACCAAATTGGTTTCGCTGTTGATATTGGCGTCTTCTTTCGACGTCCGCCGTTCTTCTACTTTCAAACTGGATTGCTAGCTCAAATAACTTTTCCAGTGTAGTCGGATTTCTTAATTCAATAAAGTCTTGCACTTGGGGTAGTAACCTCGGCAAAATCACTTGAATTATTTCAGGATCCGGACGGTTTCCATACAAGAGCTTGAAAACGTGAATTTTTCTTAAAATAAAGCTCGAGAGGTTTTCGATTCTTTGTTGATATATACTGAAAAGTTCCTGTTTCTAATTTCGCACGATCCCTTACAACAGGGAAGGCTTTTAGTAGGGCAGTCTTGAAATTTTCGTAAGTATAGGTGGGACTTCCTGCTTGACCCAAGAGACTTCTGCCGATACATTTGAACCAGTTAAGCGCTTGGCCCCTCAAAGCGCTGGTAGCTAAGGTAACTTTTTGAAACTCGTGCACGGGGTAGAGCATGAAGTGGTCATCCAATTTTTCCAAAAAACTGGTTACCGGTGAGTTTCCATTAAACGTTGCTTCTGGTTTCATCGAAGCGCGCATGGTCTGGACGATGTAACCCAAATCCTTCCAGGGCGGCAGCTGGCATTTCTGGATTCTGAGCCGTTTCTGCAGGCAGCACAGGTTCTTCTTGAAACTCGGCCATGGTTATTCTTCGTCGGGCGCCACTATCAGGTTCAATGTTTCTTCTAACCTTCTTCGGAAACATACAATGACCTGACTAGGAACAGAGAGCTTACTAAAGCTATGTTCACTAATTGTAGTAAGTAGACAGGATACAGACGAAGGGTATACAAAACCCTTTATTTTTCTTTATATACAATGACTTCCGTACTTCGGAATACAATGACCCTCCACTCGGGGTCTAACGTAAAAGGTATAAAAATAAAACTAAACTCTAATTTAACTTTAGAATAAGATTGGCCTTATAATAACAGGAAGCGTATGTAGCACAGAGACTGTGAACACTACAATACGTTTAATTTATCAAGAGGATTAAAACCTCTGGCCTGGAAGGCAAATAGCAACTGCGTAACTTCTAAGGTAAGCGGCCTGCTTCGAACTCACTGCTTCCTCTCTCCTGCTTGGCAAAAAGGCCACACTTAAATACTTGGCGTTCGCCAGACAACTTTGCATAAAATCCTTCACGCTTATAATTCTGGCCGGAAGTAGAAAATAAGAAGTGATAGTAAAGATTTAAAATAAAATAAACGTTAGTAAAACTTAAGATCCTTACAACCTAAGTATGAAAGTTGTGCTTTTGCCTCCGAACAACACTTGAATCAAATGATCAAAATCCGATCAAGACATTGTTAGTCCAACATTGTTTCAACGACGTCCAACATTATTTCGCCAGTTTGAGCGTAGCAGCAAAACAAAATGTGGATTTTTCAGCGAAGAACATTTTGGAAAGACTTCAGTAATTCATACAGTCATAATCTTAGGGAACTCTTGTGACGAATTTATAGAGTTTCGCTCTGTTTGGGAGCATAAACTAAGAGCTCTAAAAGACTGCATGAGGAATTATCCCCGGTCTTTAAGTACAACAGAAAGTCAGAACAAGGATGTAAAGAACCCTTTATTCCCTCAATATAAAACAGATGGCCCCACTTTGGGCTTACACAAAGCCAACACTTCTGGCTTAACTCAAAACAGGTAACGATGAACTTAAAATAAAATGTAGTGAATCTAACCTAATGGCTCACAGGAAAATTTCATGCGCAGGAAGGCTGTGACTCATAGAAGTCGGCGGAAAACAAACCTAATAGCTAGAAGCGCTCAGCGGCACAGTATCTAATCGCTAGAAATTCAAAATAGCAACGTAACATGCAAACAGACATAACACGCTCTAAAATCACCTTCCAAACTCTTGCCTTAACTAGCACTGCTTTCTACCACATTTAAATACACTCGCGCTAGCTTATTAACGTTCTGGCAAGAAAGCGTGGGTGAAAACCAGACTGAAAGGAAAATTGCTTTAATTAAAAATTAACTGTTAAATTACACAAATCTCCACAAAGTTATACAGAAAGTAATATAATGCGCATGGAAGAATCAGTGCCGCCTTTCCTTTACAGAGATCAGGAATTTTGTAACTAATAAAGAAGCCGATTCTATTTTCTTTTTAATATGTAAAGTCGTTATTGTAGGATGAGAACTTAATTTGAAATTGTACAAGGAGGAGCATTTTCAGCTATCCATTTCGAAAATAATATATTCAGACCTAGAGACAATGAAACTCCAAATATTTTATATCATCATTTTCGCTACACTTGTCCATTTACATGCATACCACGCAGGCTTTACAGTTGCTCTTTGCGTACATTTGCTACAGTTATTTTCGAAATATTATGTCTGCCAAATGAGTACTTTTCGGAAACAGAGAGTTGGCTACACTTGCGTGAATGAATAACGATGGAAGTAGCAAACATGTCTTTTGGAACACTTAAACGATAAGTTGTATGCAACCAAAGTGGAAAGTGCGGAGAACTGAAGGAAAGAATCAGAGAGAAAACTGGGATATCACAGATATCCTTGACCGGGTCATACAAAATGTCTATAATCGTCTTCTGCAGTGCACTGTTAAACGAGATAGTCCTTTGAAAGCCATAGTGTTTCACAAGTAACTGTAGCGAATGTGCACAAAACGCAGTAGTAAATTTTACATATCATGTAGGAAACCAAACAAGTGTCGCAAAAGAGATGATACAAGATATTTGGATTCATAATCTCTAGCGCCGAGTATATTACTTTCAAAATGAGTAATCGAAAATGCTTCACCCTATAGAATGTCTGAATTCTCCGGATCAAAACCTTTTCAAAGATTTTCTCGAATTTAACAGTCAAAGATTTTTCGAAGGGATAAAAAGATCTGATCGTGTACTTGCAAAGTGCTATGACGATTTCAATATTAAGCAAAGGATTAAATTTCACCGGAACTAAAGGTGAAAAATTTTGATAACGCTAATCCAGATAATCAGAGATTACAATAAGAAATGAAATTTAAAATATTCTTGCTTGCTGTGAGGCTCTTTTAGAGAAAACAACAGGTCTTCGTCAGTCCAACTTCAGTGAAGTACATTTTTCAAAAGAATTTATCACAGCAAAAATCATCTATTTTTATAACTATAATGCAAATTACAGATATATTTGTAAAAATTAACAACCTCTATCACATACAGCTGCTATAAGTTTAAACTCTGTTTTTATTAAAAGGTTTTTATTAAGTATAAAAGGATATGAGGATTATTATTTTCGTAGAACTCAGTTGTACCAGTACGACCAGTACGTACAACTAAGTACTGGTGGAAACCAGTACGACACCTCTATTTCAACTTTGCGTCTTTGGAAAAATTGTTCCGATTTACGTCATTTTTCTGGGAACGAATTTCTACGTCTTCATTACTTAATGAAACTCTTATCACTGTATTGCCTTTCAAGGATAAATTCGAAAAATTCTATTAATATTGAGAACAAAAATTAAATAACTCCTTTGCCCAACGAGTTCACTGAAAATAAAAATTTCTAAGCATCCTTATTTCTAAGCATTCATTTTTATAAGCTAAATCCTTATTTAAGTCAACAAAATAGGCAAAAACCTTTTATTTACTTCTTTTTATAAATACAAATAAAAATGTTTACAGTGAAATCTTTCACAGTGGCTGCCTCTAAAAGCGATAGGCATTTCTGAGACTATAATTAAAACAATAATCTTTAACATCATCGATAGTTCTTTTCTCTAAGACGATCACGTCTACATAAGACCATCATGATCGTGCACGATTGCTTTAGGAAGGTTCCGTAAATATTCTATCTTTTCAAAATTATATTTAATAGAGAAGAATACCGTACTGAATACTAAATATTTGTATGAAAATAATATATGAAAATGCAATAATATCATACTGAAAATTCTGATAAATAATTAAACGTCATATAAATTTTATTTCTTTATTTTATGTCATTGTAGAGATCCAAGAGGCAAGCTCCAAATATTAATGTTCACGAAATTCCAAAGACTAGCTTTTCCTGTGACGATCGAAGAGTTGGAGAATACTATGCTGACCCGGAAGCCAATTGTCAAGTGTATCATGTTTGCATTCCAGGCATGCACAATAAAATGTCTCTAATGAGCTTTGTGTGTCCTAACGGCACTATTTTCAGCCAATCAACTCGAGTCTGCACATCATACGATCGTGTCGACTGTAGCTTGACTTCCAAATTTTATGAAAATGTGCACGGACTTGCTAACAGCAAGCGTACTGACTACGAAGCCGATAGGGATTATGACAATTATGTTGCCCAGCCACCACCTAGAGAAGCGGCTCCACCAGCTAGACAGTCGACCTCATCGAGAAGCAGAAATACCCCAGCTCCACCTCCGCCTCCAAGAGATGTTCCACCTCAGCCGCAGAGAAACACTCGATTCCGATCTGGCACCAACCAATTTAGAGGTCAACAAGCACCAGCAGCAACCACTCCTGCTCCTGTCCGCACAACTGCAGCTTCACCACAAGTTGCAAGAGTACCTATAGCACCAGCCAGGCCAGCTCCACCTGCTTTCCGGCCTCCAGTATTAGCAGGTCGTCCTGCACAAGGAGGCACTCTTTCTAATGTTTTGCCTCCACGGCCAACAGTACGATCAGTCGTGTCTACAAGCACCGCAAGTTATGACTATGAATACGAATATGACTACAATTACGAAGATGAAACTCCAGCTGATGGGAATGCACGCAACAAGAGAGAAGCTGTAGCATATAATGATGATAATATGGAGGAAAAGATTCAAAAAACAGGTTTCACTTGTCAAGATAAAGTAGCTGGAGGGGTATACGCCGATATAGAGAGTGACTGCAAAATGTTCCACATCTGCGTCCCGTTAGGAAAATACAAAATGCTCGATTATAAAGTTTTCTGTACTAATGGTACTGGCTTTGATCAAGAAACAGGTTCCTGCAGAGAGAAAGAGGAGTTTGTTTGCAAAAATGCTCACTTGTTTTACCAGTTCGAAAAGCTAAACCAACCTACATATAGCAAGAAACCCGTCTTCAGCAAAAAAATATATACTAAACCAAAAAAGGCCAAACGCATGAGCAAAGAATGAATTGAGAAGAAATGTTTTCAGATCTAATTATTTATCATGTGTTAAATTTTTAGTTTTTGCTGGCAGTGGGTAAAGAGAGTGTTATATGAAGAGCATGATAAAACTTGATTGCTTTTGTTCTTTCAACTTGAGGAATATAACCTTTAGACATAAGAAAAATGGGAGGATGTTTTGTGCACAACTGAAAGACTAATATAAATGGAATTTCGAGAAATCAAAGTACAACGCTGGTAAAAAATAACAATAAAACACTCAAATTTCATGTATTTGACAAGTAAATGTAAAGACATGAAAATTTCTCAAATGGCAAAAGCGTATCTAGATATATATATGATTCTTTGTATTGTCCTTTTTGATAACTTTATTCCAGGAACTGTGCCATGTCATAAAACAATCAAAAGCAAATCCCAAATTTTTATATAATTTTTATTATTTTGATTGCTACTGTTTTGGATTTATCATTTATTTAAATTAATTAAGGTATAATTTTTTCTGCAAGAATAAATGTTTGAGTATAACTACAGCAAAACAATTTTATTACCAAGAAGCTTTTAAAGAGAGTGAAAGAATTATTAAAATGATTCCAGCAAGAAATGTTAAAATATGATTTCCTTGATCTCCATATTCATAGTAGCAATAATTATTTTTTAATTACATTAACTACAATAAATAAAATGTATGTGTAAGCATACTTATTTCAGAAAGAATATTCACATATGTACTAGTTTTAATTGCAAATTTAAGTAGAAGTATACCATTGTAAATGACAAGTGCATATGTTCATTTAATTTGTGGCTCGTTAATTCCGTTTTTAAAATAATACTTTTTAAAATGTATCTAGGTTTATTCATTAACTTGTATAGCAAAAAAACAGCGTTTTAACGTCAGTTTTAAACTTATGTTAGATTTATTTTATGTATTTTTTTAACTCTTTTTACTATTTACTGTTTCGTAGCATTAGACATTTTTGATGTTTAATGCGCAAAATTAGATTTTAAGTTTTATGGAGTTTTTGAAATATTTTCATTGTGCCAAGAATTTGTGTAATAAATGTAATCACCTATAATGCTAAGTTTTCTTTATATAATGATCGAAACATGTTTACATGTTCTTTGGTAAATGAAATAAGTACTGCTTTGCCTTTGCAAAGTTGAATAAAATGAGTTAGCTTAAGTAGCAATATTGTATGCCATTTTCGAAAAAGAGAAAACAAAATTTTTCTTCTGTTACCTAAATATATAAAATTAAATTTTTCTAAAGAATGCAAAGTACAATTTTCTATCTTATATCAGCGAAGAAATAGTATTCTGTTAGGTTATAAAGAATATGAGAAATAAAGAAACAAAAAATAATATCCATTACTAAAGCATAGTAATGAAGAAAATAAATTTAATTTGCATAAATATTTGTAAATAACAGGGCTTGTAAAATAAAATATTCGATTTGATTACGTATAAGCTAACTGTGAACGTGAAGATAGAAATCTGAAAAGTGAGTAATTCCTTGAGGCTCCAAACTAATCTTCCCCAAACGGTTGATGTTTAAAAATGTAAGAAAGTTTATGTTTTGTTTAAGAACACATAGACAAGTTTATTTTGAAGATGTAAAAAGAGCGGAATTAATCATTAAATCCACACAAAAGCAATCTGCTATAATGAATTAATAATAAAAGTTTCCTATCAATTTAACATTTCGAAAAAACGTGTCTCAAATTTACTAAACTGTACAAAGAAGCACTTTCTAAACATACAAACGAATAAATGAGAAAGTATTACATACAAACGTAAAATCCTGTTACGTACCGTTAAATATCCTTCATGAAACATTAACAATACATTACGCTGACAAATTTCTTAATCAGTTTAGACTTCGCATCACATGTACATGAGTCGCTGAAAGTTATTTTACAACTTTGCTAAAGTTTCTCAAAAATCAGTCTCTTGGACTAAAATCAGAATTTCTGTTCTTAAACTACATTTCAAATAAATTCATAATTAAATTCAGAAGTTTCTTGCTAGATAACAACTGAAACGATCTCGCTTGAGGCAAAACTTAAAATTAATATCAACTGTTGCACTTTTCGATATAAAACAAAAACGATACATAAAGAAAATAAATTTCACTTACCTTTTGCTTTTCTGGTAATCTCTCATTTGCTTGGCTGCAAACTCGTCTCATGACGGATAAATCCTGGCTTGCTGCACTCGAAGTGGATGTGTTTCACCCCTATGGCTGTGCCGGGAACCTCACCTTCCTCTTACTTGAAAAAAGGAGCTGCTTCAAAAAGCCACCCTGAAATGGCAATAGGAATGGGACTTAAGTGATACCGGGAGACGTACATACGATTTCTTCCGAAAAGTTAACATTCAAAGACAAATGTCCTTCCCGCAAATCACCAACTTTGAAACGGTTCAAGGACCGTTTTCTGTTTATTTCCTTCGCTTTCGCATTTCCGAAACTGCAAACGTGTGTTTACGGAGCAGAAGGCTTCCCAGACCACTATGTCTATTAATGCCCTCTCATCAACGGCACGCACCTACGTCAGTAGTTCAGTAATGTGGGCACTCACAGACGCTTTATTGTACAAAATCGTGTCATTGTAGATAAGCTACATCAGACCATGATCAAAACTGCAGCCCTGGGACAGGACATCTGCCAGGTCATATAAGACTTTCTCTGGCTGAGCTCTCCGACTTTAGGCAACAAAACAATGTATTTTCTCCGATGCAGAGTTGCAGCGCATTCCGTGCGCAATCTGAATACTTAGCGCAAAATAGCATGATCATGCTAATCACAGTGTACGGCGAACCACGAACTTAAAAACATGTTCATTGCATTGCATTCGTATTCTTCTTAACTCTCGAAGGGTGCTCCCATTGAGCTCTAGAGAGTTGTTGCTTCCAGCCGGAGGAGGACGTGGAACGCATGTCTGCTTACCTCTGTTAGAAGCCAGATGTCTCCGCTCTCCGTCACCTGTCTACTAAATGTACATTTATACTGTACTACGTTTTCATTGCACTACTTATTTAGTATTGTGTTACTTTTTCATTGCTTTTTCATTTTCTACTTATTTATTTTATTACGTAGTTACTACCTTATGTACTTTTATGTTGCACTACTTTGTAGTGTCCAGGGGGTTAGCTTCTATCTGAATATAGGAGTATCAGGAAACTACACAGAAGAAGGGTTCAGACCCTTTATTAACTCTTTAAAATTTACAATGCGTCTGCTTGACGCTTACAAACTTCGCCTCTACTTGGGCGGTAACTGAATGTCAGAGAATAGAAACTAAAAATTTGAAGATATTAACAAACGATATAACTAGACTACAGGGCTCAACGAAATCCCGAACTTCAATCCCCTTCTAAAACTAGTGACAGCAGATAAATGCAATTAAGCCACTTGAACCAGCAATCAGCAAACGTACTTACGGCAGAGACGGCAGCTAGAGCCCAACTCTCTAACTCTCCTTCTGAAAACTCGGTATTTAAACTTTTCTCCTCAAGGTAGAATTTGCGTTCTTCCACGCGCGCTACCAAAATTTAACTATTCTGGCACTGACAATTAGGAGAATGAAGGCTTATAGGCTTATAGTCTGAACTAAAATTTAAATTATTAGTAAAAATAAATTTGAAGAAATTGAGTAGAAGTAGTAAATTCCTACAACTTATTAGTAGGGTAAGTAGTAAATCCCTACAAGTAGTAAATCTCTTATTAGTAGAGTATAAGTAGTAAATCCCTACAACTTATTCATTGTTATTACTTCTATGCTTTATGCTCTTTGTTCTATATTCTGACATTGCAATATGTTCCTTGCACCCTCTGTTCTCAAATCTATAGCCACTGTACAGCTAGCTACCTAGCCCCTGTAAGGTCATGTTTCTTGCCTAAATCCTTAAATTCTTTAATAAGCGCTGGACAGTGGGGAACAAGGGGCATGCACCTGCTTACCTCTGGTAGACACCAGGTGGCCCCGTTCTACGTCATTTGTCACCTGTGCCGAAAACTTCCTGTTCGCAGCCCTCTCCTAGTAGCTTTTGAGTTTATTTCGTCGCTGAGGGAACTCTGCTTCCGCGGTCCGGTTCATATTGTTGCGTGCGTACGGGTTCGTTATGAAATGAATGCACAAGTCCGATGAAAAATGAACAAAAATTTATTATTATCACAACTAAAATGCTTAAATTTTCTCAAATTATCATGCAGTATTACAATATCTCACAGTAGTTATCTTTTAACTACTCAAATGTCCAATAGAACGTAACTCAAAACAGCTAAAGAACGCTAATCCGCGAATTCGCTACAATCAACAAGAGCAGTTTTCTAAATAACAACAAACTAAGCAACTACTACAAACTGAGATGTTTTCCTCCTTTTATAAGATTTTAAAATCACGCGCTAGAATTTTCCAGTACTTTCTCGAAATCAAAAAAGAAATATTTATTTATTTAATGCACGTGCTCTTGTATTTTCAATTTTCCGGCTCAGCTTTCTTTTAATATTCGTCACGCGCTGCACTGCGCGAGAAATAAAACCAATTAATTTATAATTGAACTAATATTAGCTTTTTAAATACCAAATTCGTAACACTGCCCCCTTCCCAAGGACTGCACGTCCCGGGCAGTACAATCCCTGGACAGTAAGCTAAATTTACAGCTGTGGCATAAATGCATTAATAAGCATTACATTACAATAATAAACAACATGAACAATAAATGCAATACATAAACAAATCAAATGCTATCAAATTCAAATCAAATACTAAATGCAAATCAAATACTAAATACAAATCAAATCAAAGACACATTTAAAAACAAAATGGACCATGGTCTTATACTATTTACAATTATTTACATTATGTACTATGGCCATAGTAATGTGCTAACCTGTCGTAATGAACGACTTTAGGTTTAGAGTTCGAAGACTTACGAATCCGAACCACGACGTCATTCAGCCTGTTTAGGACTGTGTACGGGCCATCCCAAGGTGACTGTAATTTCGGACAAAGTCCTTTCCGTCGAGTCGGATTCCACAACCACACCTTGTCTCCTTCATGGAATTGATGTTCAGTAGCTCTTATGTCGTATCGGGTCTTCATCTTCTCCGTCGCCAAGTTGACTCGCTCTCGTGCCAAGTTGTGCATCACTTCAAACCGAGCCTGGAGATCTTGAATATATTCCTCAGACGATGAAGGAGCATCCGGAGGGCGGCCAAACAATAGATCACAAGGCAGACGAAGATCACGACCGAAGAGCATTTGTGATGGAGAATAGCCGGTAGTCTCGTGGACAGCACTGCGGTAAGCCAGTAAAAAGAGTGGTAATTTCTTGTCCCAGTCCTGTTGGTTTCTGGAAACCACTAATGAGAGGTTATTAAGGATGGTTCGATTGAACCTCTCTACCATGCCGTCCGACTGGGGATGCAATGGCGTCGTTTGAGTTTTGTCAATGCCGAGTAGTTTGCATAGTTCTTTGATTACTGCCGAGGCAAAATTCCTTCCCTGATCGGAATGTAACTGAAGAGGCACTCCGAACCTGGAAATCCAGTGCTGTATCATTACCTCAGCTACTGTGACAGCCTCTTGATCAGGAACAGGGTACGCTTCAGGCCACTTGGTGAAGTAATCAATGACAACGAGTATGTATTTGTTGCCATCAGCAGTTCGTGGCAGAGGTCCTAAGATGTCAAAGGCGATACGTTCAAAAGGCGCCCCTACGTTGTAACGTTGCAGCTTGCCTCGGCTGCGTCTCTTCGGTCCTTTCCGACCTGCACAGGCATCGCAGGATCGGCACCACTTTTGCACGTCATCCTTTGCATTATTCCAGTAAAAGCGCTCACGAACTCTCTGTAAGGTCTTCATTATTCCAAAGTGACCTCCCGTAGGGCTGTTATGTAGTTCTTTAAGGACATCAGGAATGCGGGATCTTGGAAGTATCAGCTGCCATCGGAACGTCTTCCCATCATCCGATTCAAATTTCCGGTATAAGACGCCGTTTCGAATGTGAAGTGAATCTCAGAGTGCCCAATACTGTTTGGTTGTAGGACTACAGATAGAAATGTCCTGCCAGGTAGGTTTTTTGGTTGATGACTCCATTAAATCAATTATCGGTTTAATGTCGCGGTCTTCCAGCTGGTCTTTCCTGACTTCATCATCACTCCACGGTTCTCGATCAGCCGATGTTGATGTTGTAATTTGTCTTGCGACCGGAGTCAGCAGCTCGTATTTCGCTTCCACCCTGGAACAATATCGGCAGCTTTCTTGGCAAGGTCTTCTAGACAGGGCGTCGGCGTTTCCGTGTGATGATCCCTTACGATGACGGATAGTGATGTCATATTCTTGGAGTCTCTGTATCCACCTGGCTATTTGACCCTCAGGATTCTTGAAATTTAAAAGCCAGGTCAATGATGCATGATCGGTGCGGAGCAGGAATTTTCTGCCATATAGATAGTGATGGAACTGTTCTACGGCTTTGACTATGGCGAGCAACTCTTTCCTGGTGACACAATAATTCCTCTCCGGTTTAGACAGGCACTTGCTCCAGTACGCCACTACACGTTCTTGGCCGTCTATTTCTTGGGACAAAACAGCACCGACACTTTCATTGCTCGCGTCGGTGTCAAGAATAAATGGTCGGTCGAGCTGAGGATACGTCAGGATTGGAGCAGATGTTAAAGCCTCCTTTAAGTTGTTAAATGCATCCTCGCATTCTTTTGTCCACAAGAATCTTTGCTTGCTCTCTGTCAGCTTGTGAAGGGGTCTTGCGATGGAAGAAAAGTCCTTCACGAATCTCCTATAGTAGGTGCAAAGCCCTAGGAAGCTTCTCAGCTGATGGACATTTTCAGGACGTTTCCAGGATTTAACCGCTGATACCTTTTCAGGATCCGTGCGCACACCTTCTGCAGAGATGACATGTCCCAGGTAAGTCACTTCCTTTCGGAACAATTTGCATTTAGCGGGACTCAGCTTCAGATTGGCTTCTTTCAGTTTCTGAAGCACCTTCCTAAGATTTTCTAAATGTTCTTCAAAACTCTTTCCGACGATGATGATGTCGTCCAGGTATATCAGGCAGGCTTCGTAGGAAAGACCTTTCAAAACAGTCTCCATAAGACGTTCGAATGTCGCCGGCGCATTACACAGTCCAAACGGCATCACCTTGAATTGCCAAAGCCCTTGTCCCGTAGTAAATGCCGTCTTTTCTCGGTCTTCAGGCTGTATTTCTACCTGCCAATACCCACTCTTTAAATCAAGTGTTGAGAACCACTTGCTTCCAGAAAGAGTGTCTAGAATGTCGTCA